TGTAATGCTTAATAAAGCAGGTATATAATACTTTATTCTTTTACCTTCAGCGAGACAAAGAATACGCAGAAGAGCTACAGGTATGCCTTAATAATTGCCAATTTAATTAAGTTGTATCAACATTAATAAAGTTAACCATTTTTCCAGCTTCGTGAGGCCATTGAAGCGACTAAACTTATGCCTAAAAGCAAATCCAAAAGAACATACGATGACGATAATGATGAAGAAAATGAGATTGGCTCTCTTTTTGGAAATACCACTATATCCGATCTATATTCTTTCCAGGCTTCTCAATTGATATCCGTAGCAGATACTAAATATGCATTAGATGCATTTTATAAAATTGAGCAGCAAGAACAAAGAGATCATGAGGTAATTTAATATAATATCATTTGACGTTTACCTTTATCACAAATCTAACTAGATTTTGAAAAATACCAATAAGTTTGCTCGCAAGCTTCAACAGTTTGACGAAGACGGCTATGACATCGACCGGATAAGAGAGGTAAATCGATAGCACATTAATAGAATAAAGCAAACGTTTTTACAAGTAATGAGCCTTATTATAGGACGAAGAAATGCCTGATGCATCTTCCGATACCGATCAAGATGAAGAAAGTTTCGATAATAATAAAGAAATTGATGATGAAGATTACGATACAATTCAAGAGACTGATAATTGCGAAGATTATGATACTAGTTTTGGGATTGATAATGATGATGAAGGTTTCGATACAAATCAGGAGGTTAGCTTTAACAATACCAGTCAAGATATTGATCATAATCATACAGATGACGAGGTTAGTCACAACGCGTTAATAATATTATCAACTAAATTGTGGCATATGTGTAACAAAGCTATAATTCTTCATAGTCTGAAGAGATTTCTAATAGGTTTTCTCGTGGGTTACACTTTAAAGACACAGACTCAGAGGTCAGTAACAACATATTAATGAAATAAACGATGAAAGTTTTATGTTATTTGAGAAGTCATGCTTAAACTTCTTATAGGATGAACGATCTTATCACAATTCCGATAAAGAGGTTAGTCATTACCCATTAATAGAACAATCAATGAAAGTTTGAGGTAAAACTAAATATGAGATTTTATAGAATGAAGAAGAAAACGATTTCAATAATCAGTTTCAGAAGGTTAGTAATAATAAATCACAAATAACGAAAAGTTTAATGTTGTACGAAAAATAAAGCTATAATTTTTCATAGGATGAGAAAAAGCGTAAACGCGAAGTACTGGCAGTGCAAACTGTGGTAAGAATTTTAATTATCGTATATAGTTTTTATATTTACAATGCACAGACTTGTCAATGACAATCAAATCCTTCTATACACATAATAAGCCTGTCAAACGTAGGTTCTGTGAAACTGAAATATCGTTGAACGCTAATGACGTGAATGGTTCGTCTGTAATTTAGGATTTTTTTTTCAATAACAAAACTTTTTCGATGATACCTTATTTTAAGTTATTGGAATTGGGGCTGGAACTATAGGCAAAGGCAAAGGAAAGATTGTTCATGATTCGACGGACGATGATAAAGCTAATCACCAAGCCGAAATACTACAACTACCAAATGGAAATCACCAATGCAATTCTTGCTTTGACAAATTCTCAACTTTTGATTTGAGTGCAGATCTCGATAAGATGGCAACCAGCAGTGCCAATTTAGGCGTTATTTTAGATTGCAAACACTGTTTTTGTTTGGCATGCATGAAAAATTACTTAAATTCGATGCTTAAAGACGAGGTCGTGGACTTTCCTATCAAATGTCCATTGAAGTGTGCTGATGTAATAATTGCTGAAAGAATAGTAGAAAAGTCATTAACAAAAAAAGATTTGGAAACTTATTATTTAAAAATGACTGTATCTAGCATTAAGAATAAAGTATATTGCCCCAACAAAAGATGCAGTGCGATGATTGACTATGACCATGACGAGTCTCAACCAACTTATCCTCTTACATGTCCAATGTGTCGCGAGTTATTTTGCCCAGTATGTCACGTAAAGTGGCACGAAGGTAAATAACTTGCAATTAATAGTTGTAAAATTAGATTGCAATATATTAATTATTTTATTCCATTCCAAGATTTGACGTGTAAGGAATATCAGGCCATTCCTCCTCATGAGCGTTCACCAGAAGATCGCGAGGTACTCAATCTGGCCAAATTCGAACGTTGGCAACGTTGTCCTAAGTGTAACATGTTAGTTCAATTGGAAACCGGATGCAATCATATTACTTGTAGATGCAAAGCTGAATTGTGAGTTATTTATTTGTTAGTTTGGTGATAATAGTGATACGTTCAGAGTATATAAATTTGCTTGCTCGCTATTATAGTTGTTATGTTTGTGGTTCGGATTGGAACCGCGAGACGGAGAGATGTCAAAAAAGATGTGAATTATGGGATGAGACTATGTTATTGGAGGTTAAGTAATAATGTAATGTTTACAACGTTTTTATGTTTTTTGTCTGAATAACTAAATTTTATTGCTGGACCGTTATAGGAACGTACTCGTCGTGATTTATTGGCCCAACAACAGGCGCAGCAACAAGCTCAAAATCAAATTCGTGACAATTTATTGGACAACATAGGTATATTTTTAAGGTCATACATATTTATTTTTATACTTAACTATCAAATTCGAAAAGACCAAAAAAATAAATACTTCATATGTTGACATTGTGGAAAGAACTTCAGCAATAGCCCGCAAGTCCTCTTCGTTTGATTGTATATCATTATTGGAACAAATATCGACGGGACTGCGACTATGAGTGGATTGTGTTGCTGCCATCTCAAAAAAAAGATAAAAAATTTGTTACGAAAAAGTGCGAAAGTATAGAATGCGAGACATAATTGTTTATACACTTTTAACGATCCCTGCTTGTGTTACACAACATTTTATAAACGCGCTATATCGCGCTCTGGTTTTCGTGTCAATTAGTCACATGATTGATGTTAATCTCACGCAATTCTTTGGTGCTAAAAAAAAAATTTCTGTGCATATACAGTCAACTACAGAACTATATAGTGGACATCTAGGACTTAAATTATTAAAATTTATTATATAAATATTAGTACAGTAAAAAGTTATATAAAGGATTTTACAAAAAAAATTAATTATAAGACCCAAAAATCCGTTATATAGATATATAGTTGACTGTAAAAAATAAATTCTGTGATGTGATGTGAGCAATTTTTGAGGATTACGTGCAATTATGCGGTGTAAAATGACTAATTATGTGCTAAAATGTGCCTAAATTCGTGCAAACTTTAACGACAAACCGAAACTTTCTGACTAACATGTTCGTAATTCATGTTCATTAATTGTCCACCTTTCCGAGAATTACCGATATTGGCCTAAATTAAATTACCCACTTTCTAATTTCTGTGGTTAAATTATGTGATCTTTCTATATAATTCTCTACTTTCTGTGGTATTCTGTGGTGATATAAACATATTCTGTTATAAATAAGTGAATTATGTGGTATTAGTGAAACACAGAAAATGTTGATGGCGCATTAACCAGCCACAATGATCTCTTGCATTCGTAAATTTCTTTTACAACGAAAACTTCCACCACATGCTTCATCAACCGTTCTGTACTTTGAATGTTTTCTATTTTTCTTTTGTGAATTGAAGACATAACAGAAATAATATA